CCCTACAGTAGAAAGCTAAATGCATACAGTACCATGTGCGTCCCTGTTTATGCACAGGGATACTTGGATTCAGCTGCTTCCTTTAAAAATATCTGGATAAATAAAGTGAAAGCTCAGTCCTCTGGTCAGAAATGTGCAGCTCTTTGCATTTTCATGGGGCTTTAAACCGATACATTGCCTTTAAAAATCCAAACGCTTGCAGAAATGTTTGTAGGTCTGTATTCAAAGCAACCTTGCTGACACTAAAGACTGCTTGTTTTGGTCGAGATGCTGCCAAAATGCTTGGGAGAAAGCACAAATCCTCCATTTTAGTTTTTCCATGTGTTCAGCCAACATGTCCTTTCCCTGGAAAATAATCAAAAAGCCGTATGAAGAAATGAAAAACAGATACACCGGCTCACTGTTGCATTGTTGTTGGATACCAAATATTTTTCAAGAACAGACTTTTCTCCTCCTCTGAGGTTTTGCCCGTAGGCCGTCCTGGCACTTAATTATAATTTCAAATCCACATTCCTATTTCATAAACTTGTGTTTTAAATCACAGAGTCCTGCGATCACCATTCATGACTTCTTCTTTTTTCTCTCCCTCCACTTTCTCAGGGGAAGAAGTTTGAAATCCTCCCTGATGGTCTGCCCTCGGCCCGTAAACTCATCTATTACACAGGTTGTCCAATGCGCTCTCGTCACCTCCTGCAGCTGCTCAGCAACAGCCACCGGCTCTACATGAACCTGCAGCCGGTTCTCAAACAAGTCCGTAGACTGGAGGAGAACGAAGGTAATTCCAGCAGTCTTACAGTGTATGCCAAAACACAATAGCATAAAAGTTGTAAACCTCAAGATTTCAGCACTGGTTAAGCTGTTATCTCTGTTTGATTGCTTTCAGAAAAGAAGCAGTACCGGGAGTCATACATCAGCGATGCTCTCGAGCTGGACATGGAGCACCTGGACAAGCATTCCCGGGCTAGTGGCAGCAGCGCAGGGAGCGTTTCTCATCAAAACCGCCTGTCTCGCCACTCCACAACCAGCCAAGGCAGCTCACACACCTCTGGCATTGAGACCGACAGCTTCAGGGCCCTGGGTCAGACCCCTCACCGGCCCCTGCGAACCTGCAGCTCGTCCACAACCAGTCACGGAAGTTCACACACCTCTGGCATCGAGAGCAGTGGCAAGGAGCGCATATTAGACGATGACGGTAAGAGGCAAGAGTTACTGAAATGTCATGTAAATGTCACACAGAAGATATATGTGTCATCATCGGAGCATTTTGAAGTAGATACTGACATCAACATTTCAGGGAGCATAGTATACAGTAGTATAGAGCCATGGTTCCCAGCCTGGGGTCTGCGGTCCCCTTGGGTGGGGGGGCAAAAGATCACCTGGGGTATGTGAGGGATCATCTGCTCTGAGGTTGTGACATTGCCTAAATTGACAGACGCACCAGGTGGGGGATGAAGCCGTACAGAGGATGGATCAGAACCAGGTTGCAGTTGGAACGCAATGCAGCCAATACATACAAAC